TTGTCTCTATAGTGCCCCTAAGACATATTACTGCTGTTTAACTTTGACATATTTAATAAATAACTTGTATTTGCATCTATAGTTACCCCAAGTGAAGGAGGCAGTCAGAGCGGAGGTCATGGCAGGGTGGTCCTGCACCCCACAGGTGAAAGTTATCCCCGTTTTCAAAGACCGCTTCTCCGGGAGGAAAAACACACTGAAGAGAAACACTTCCCGGCTGTGGTTGTCCATCACCTGGAAACACTTTGACTGACGTCGAGGCACAGAGTTCACCAACCAAGAAGACAGCGGGGCTCCGTCGGTCAGGTTGCCGTGAGGGTTGTTTGCCGGCAGGGTGCAATTGGTGACTGACAGGCGATCGATATCGGCTGCTGCACTTTGGTGCGTCCAGGTGAGGGTGACTCTACTGGGGTGGAATCCCCCGGTGAGACAGATGAGGGCCCAGCGCTCCGTCTGTGGGTCTGAAGGAATCTGGAGGTATATTTTAGGAGCAGACGGCGGTGCTGGAAGTGGAATAAGGGGGTATGGAACAAAGTAAACACATCAGATGAGATAATTAAAACTCTAAAATTGGGTCACTGCAGAGGCAAATAATAATAATAATACACAGCAGGTGAAAATAGGACACAGATATGTAAAAGGGAAAATGGGCTGGTGTTAGTCATAATGCAGGCGTCGAGATAGATACGCCGAAACAATGCACAAAATAAACATCAGTAAAAATATTTAGGGACAAAAAACAAACTACAGACAAATAGAAAAAAAAGATGCATAAAAAGGGCCATCCACTAAATTAGTTGTTTTGTAAACACTCTCCTTACATTCTATAATTACCATTTAAGCTGTCTGTCATTTGAGACAGACAGATATCACAAAATGCAACCAATCCAGTCCTAAATATAAAAATAATAGAGAAAGAAAATTTGTAGCATATTTAATCCTGACAAAATTTGTAAATACAACCTTTAAAAATGAACAAAATCGGTAAAAACACACAATATCAGTTGTTATTTGTTGGAGCCAACATTACATTCAGGAAAAATCAAAAGGAAGGTTTTCTTCCGCATGAAGGATTTCCACATAATAATTTGGCCATCCCTCCTTGCCTTGTTTTCTGGTGAGTTTCAATTCCCTGGGCAAGATCGATACAAGGCACCGCGCATGGTGCCGGGGTGATTATTTCTAGATCTGTCATGAAACTGCTCAGGCAAAAAGATGAACTCTGAGGGAATTTCACATGACTTGAATTTTTATGGATTGAGCCCAGGCCGTTGGCTCGGTGGTGATGCATGGTCCTTGCCCCGGCGCTCCTATCGAGCTGCCTCGCGCTAAACACTCTAACTGCGGTGCACAGGAGATACAAATGAGACATAATTACCGGCGTGGCAACATCAGCCGAGCACAGCAAACCCTAATGAATTGCGGCCATGTTCATTTCTGAGACCGGCCATTTGTTTTCTCACCCAAGACGACCAGCTCGGTCCCGTTGCCCCGCTCCGGGTCTCTGTGCAGGACGTTCACCTCGCAGTAATACCACCCAGAATCCTCCGGCGCCACGTCGGTGATCACCAGGGAGGAGGTTTGATTCTTCTCTGAAGCGATCTGCCTGGATGACTTTGCGATGAGCTGCTTTTCCGACTGCATTTTGAACCACTGAACCCCATGCTTGAGGGATTCAACTTTGAAATGACAGGACAGGGTTGCCGTCTCACCCCGCATCACACTGAGAGATGGAGGGTGCTGTCTAACCCTCAGTCCCTCCGGGGTCGCTGTCAGGGCTAAAGACAGAGCCATTAATACAATGTGTCATACAAGGAACTTTTAAAAAAGTGCACGCCGGACCTGTGGGTCAACTACAAATACTTTAAATGTGCGTTTAGTACGGCTGGGTGACAGCTCAGAGTGAGGTTTGCCAGACGAACAACCCGAAGAAAAAAATAACATTGGAAGTTAATTTAGTATAATTTAACAATGCACCAAACACGTATTGGATGTGATAATAAATGACGCTGGTTATAAAGCACTTATTTTTCCAACAAAGTCTAATGCAGACACTCAAAAGTTTTCGACAGCTTCGGTAAAAGGTCTGATTGTAGTGACTGCTTGTCTTGTCGAGTGTGATGAAGTGATTATTAAGTGTGGCGATGAAATACCGCAGATAAGATAAGCAGCGGTTGCTCACAATTGGTGTGCTGATGACAAAAAAAAACCCCAAAACCCCCACAAAAATCATCATCCAGAAACAGATCTCATGTCTCTACCTTCTATTTGTACTAATTAAAAGATGCAGCGGCGAGATTTTCTTTCTCTCCGCATGAATTTTAAGGATAGTTATCATACAGTTAATTAATAATTAATACCAGTGATTTGAATTGGATTTTTAAAGAGCTGAAGAAAAAAACAAACAGAGATGGTTAAAGACGAATCACTCACACTGACCTTGTATTTGGCATGCAAACAAAAGAAGCAGGTAAGGCTGTTTCGCCATCCTGCCGTGATGCCCCAAGACTGAGCGGTGAAGTAGTAGCTCGTGCATAAGTTCGAGGCTTGCCAAGCTTTAAAAAAGTG